TCATACTGAAAGATGCCTTTATAGCTCAGACCCAACCACCATGGGATCCCCTGCTTGTCCTAAAACACACAACAAGAAATACCTGAGGAAAGGTTGTGCATGTGTGTGGGACTGACAGAGAGAAAGTACAAATAGCTTTAAGCTCCATCCTATCTCCACATCCCAAACTGCTTGCTTGCAGGTGAGTGAATAAAAAATATGTGTGATGTGTGAAATAAGAAAAGGCAGACTAGTATAACTATACCTTTACAGCATAGTAATGTACTCCATATGTGGGCAGAGACTCTACAATGCTCATATAACTGTGAAGAGCAGAAAGACAGATATGTAAGAGTTAGAGAACATAGCCTAGTGGACAAATATTACAGGAGGCACATACACACACACACACACACTTACTTTACAATAGCTTGTCCTCTGGACTGTCCACTGAGCTTCTTGTAATGCTCTACAACCCGGTCTTCACTGTTTGAGAATGCAATAAAGAGGTAAATAGGAAAATAATTAAGAAAGGGAAAAACAAGAAGAGCAGTACTTGTGGAATGGTCTGGTGGTTTTCTGGATAATGGGCTAATCTCTCACCAGTAGGCTAGGGATGGGTGCTCCTTTAGGGCCTGGGTGGGAAGAGCAGGTAGCTTTTTCAGGTCACACCTAGTTGCATCATTACTGGAAGGAAGAAATCACAAGACACGGTTAACACTACTCCTGCAAGAAAAATCATTCTCTGCAGTAGGCCTGACAGTTTCATGCAAAACCCGATTAAGCAATACCACCAAACTGCAAAAAGAGAACACAATTACAAGTTAAAGAAAAACCAAAAATTTCTCAGAACCGTCCTTAAAATACTATCTTAACTGTCAAAGAAATGAGGGTAACAAAACTATATTTAGACAGGAGAAAAGAATGCTGATGGCTTAAATGCTCTCTATTTCAGAGACTGGGCACTGTCTATCGCTGAACAGTGGCAGAGACACTGACAGCTGGAAACAGATGAGAGAATAGAGGCACAGAAACACAGACATAAACACCAAGATAAATAAAGAAAAATAAAAGGAGATTATAAAACAGGTATGGAGGAAGAAATGATAAAGGCAAATACAGGCTCCTGATTCAGATTTTAGTAATACACTTTAATCCCCTAACTACACTGGAGCCTTCACCGAGGGCCCAGAGGACAGGAGAAAGCCCTGGGAACATGACAACCTATGAGCTAAAGCACTGGAAGACATCCATCCACATCCACCCTACCTGGCTGTTCTTCAGTATGTGAACACAGCTGCATGTGTCTAGATCAGCTGACATCCATTCTTGTAACTATTCATTAGGTATATGTGATTGCATTGCACATCACTAAGGGGCAGACAAGAGCTCAGGTTGAACATATACAATGAGTGTACCATGGCACTGTAACATGACCGTACATCTCTACAAGTCACTAGATTATGTTTAGTCTGAAAATCATATTTTCTTTAAATGGTTAAAAGGGAATTTCAACAAACTTCCAATGAAGACTCATTTGTTGCATGATTTAAAAAAAATGTACTAGAACAAGGAAGACCCATAAGGCTTTTTCCATGTGTGTACAGAAAATGTTAGACCAAATAAATTATTTCACATGTTAAGAGAATAACTCTAAAGAGTCAATAAATTTCTCAGAATGGGTATTTTTATAAGAGCAGCAGTGAGAGATATAGTGAAACTCCATATACAATGTATGGTAATGAAGAGCTATATAGAGAGAAGGGTCTTCACAGCTTTCAGAGACGGGAGGCATGTGTGTGCAGGAGAAAAAAGGTAAGGAAAGGTGGAGGGGGGTGAAAGGAATGTCTCCAGAGTGTGTCACATTCCAATCCTCTGCAGGATATTGGGTTTATTTACTCCTATCACTGGCAGAAATGAGGTCAGAGGTGATGGCTGCTATAGTCTGTTACCTGAGCTATAACAAAGGGATGAGGGGATGAAGACTAACATGCTTTTAGGCCAACATCTCAGAACCACATGTAGGGCCTTGCTCATGTGAAACATACATGACTGATACTTATTCTGACATTTTTGAGGTGAAGTTGTCAATTGTTGAACATTTTTAATTCATGGTGGTGAGTTCTGTCTTAGATTAGGAGGTAGTTGCTCAACACAGAGACATCCTGTCTTTCATCACACAAAAACACTTGTAATCTGTGCTTTTCTTATGAGTGGCAGCACAGTCTGAAGAGAGGGAGCCAAAATGGAGAAGTGACGGTAGGAAAGAAGGAGGGAGGGATACAACTCAAGCTCAGAAACAGGGAGTTGTCAGTGATGCACCCCACTACCCAAGAGAGCAGAGAAACAGACAAACCACTGACATCATCTCTGTTGTTGCTCTGTTTGCTCCTCTCCCTCATAAATCAAAGTGTGTTAACCCAACTACTCCCGGCACTCTGGAAACTAGAATGACTGCCTTGTGGTAGTATGCCTCCAACAACCAGTGGAGTTGCAGTTTACATGCCTGTCTGACCAGACTCATACAATATATGCAGTGAAGACTTTGAAGGAATTTAAAAAATTAACGTTATTACTGTGTTCAAGCAAATGGGGCATACATGCACGTAGGTATGTATAGATGATCTGAATCCATAACGTCATGGCTCCAGCCACAGCTGTCGCAGGCAGAGAGGTATAAAAACTTAGTAGATGAGATGGAAAATGTGATATTAAAATTGGGGAAAAAAAAGAAAAATTCTTAAATGTTTGAATTCAGCATGTTGATGCTGCTGTGCAAAGCAAACGAAGTTTTCCTCTACATATTCCCTGTTGTTATCAAAGGGAAGGTCCCTGTTATGTCTATCAACCAACTGGGGCACCATGACTCTTAACTGTCACAATTACATGTACTCACACTGGATAGATGCAAGCTATACATCTTTACATGCATGTTACATTTAACTATCACAAGTGACTCGTGTGTTTACCTGGTGAAATCCCCTTTAGCCTCCTGTTGAACAGAAAAAGGGAGAGAAGAAAGCAGAGTTACATATATGTATATATATGTGAACAGTGAGCAATGACCATCAAATGTGTGTTTATCTTCAGTTTGTATAGGTGAATGTGCTGCAATCTGAGAAACATTAAGCCTCCATCTGGACTGAAACCACTGAAGGCCTACAGAGGAGATATCTGACACTGTACATATGCACCTGCATAGAGGGCACATACACACATATACATGTACACCAGCAAACCACTCAGCCCAGTGTATGTGTAACATGACCTTGCAGTATCGTGGTTTATGGCCTGACCTACTCTGTGAAAGGGATGGGAAAAATAGAAAGGGCTGGAGTTGAAAGTTTATGAAGTAAAAGAGTTTCCCTGTTTCTCTGTGTTATTGTAGGACTGACTGAGTACTAATAGAATTTAGCAGGTACCCAAGAATTTTGCTAACTACAAAGATAGCTGAGGTCAGATTACTGACAGATTGATGACTGCATTACATAATGTGAGCTTAATCACTGTCAGTTAAGATCAGTGGCTATAGTTACAGAACTATAATTACAGAGCTGAATATGGTGAAAAACAGAAGATATTCATCCACCCACACACACACAAACAAACACACTTAATCTTACTTGTAGAATATAGGATGCCAATTCAAAGACAACATCACTGTCCACTTCAATAAGCTCCTGAAAGAAGGACAGAAAAGATAAGGGAGGACAGGGGGCATCAATGATATATTCTCCTTCTGCTTGCTGGGAGTAAAAGTTGATGTGCCACTGATCATCATCCATTTCTCCAAGATGGGTTCACCTCCCTAATGCTCCCCTCTTTTTCCTCTCTCCCTTCTCTAATTTCATGACCTCTTCATGAGGATGGAGCTCAGAGATTAGAGGCAAAGTGAAGGGGGGTGGGAAAGAGGGTTTAGGGGTTGAGGGTATGCATAGATGGTCTGCTTACTGATTACCCAAAACATTTTCCAGTGGTGCTGCTAAAATTGGAGAGGCAGAGAAGGCAGAGAGGTGCAGGCATATATGATTTAATGTCTCTGGGTGAGAAACATTTTGGGCTGTGGTGAAATTGTTTCTTTAACTGCATGATAATTAGTCTTGGCTTGTGCAATGCAGTTACGCATTAACCAACCATGTGCTTATACATATATTTCATAGTTATGCTACATGTGCATTCAGTGGGAGAAGGGAAGGGGTTAGCGAGCACCGAGTGGTGGTCAAGTATGCCAGGAATGTCCCCTTTTCAATCCACCTCTTAATTGGTGTAGAGATCAGACAGCCAGGATGAAACACTAGACAGAGCTAACCCACCATGGGTGCACCTCCCAGCAGGGCTACAAATCATCACACTGTGTTTTTGTACTGTATGTACTCCCACAGAACAGCAGTAATGTCACTCCCTATTCACTGTATACTAACACTGACCACAGACCCTGATCTACTACAGTATGTTGTATCTACTGTTTGTATGAAACATGTTTATTAAAATTAGTATGTAATATTTCTTCTCTTGCTCTTTTTTTGCATCTCTCCATTTAAGGGGGTCATCGGGGTCATCTAACGCTGTAGGGGGATCATTTGTACTCAACACTAATGTTTAGCTGATGTTCTTAACAGGGGTCACTTGTGATAAATGAGCAGATGGGGATCAGGTATCTTCTTCAAAGACATTTCATCAGACCGACTGTTGGGACAGAACAAAAAAAATCTTTTTTTGGGACATTCTCTCTCTGATTACTTGGTTATATGGAAATATTAATGGACAAAACATTGACTATTTACATTTACATTTTTGGTGTTTGAACTGAGAGTGTCTCACAACTAGGGTTAACCTACTTGGGTTTGCTTTACTATTCACCATATTAGAGAAGGCAGACCTTTATACCTTTCCTTACAAAAGCCTGTGCAATATTCTCAACATGCATTGAACAAAGTCTGATCCACTAAAAGACTTAGATGTTGCAGACATGGTCATTTATGGTTGATGCACTAGATTAACATTTCCTGGATGTGGTTTTCATAAAACTTACCACCACTTTCAGCACAGAAAATAATGGGTCTTATGATATTATCATAATTTTCTACAAGCCTTTCACTGGGATATTTCTGCCCAGCTATTTTCCATCAGCCCACATATGCCCTCTCCTGGACTGGACACATACCTACTAATGATAAGAAACATGCTGTTGGTAACTGTGGCGTTATCAGCTGGCTATTGCCACAGCATAATATGGTTAACTGAATAAGTGTCCCCTCACTCTAAAAAAATTGCAAATGCACTTCTCTAAGTGGAATGTTTTAAGTCAATTACCAGATGCAAAATAAAATAAAATAAATAGATTTGCCAAAAATACTTCCATGAGCCTTGGGAATTTATTTTAGGAAAATGTGCTTTTCTTGAAAATTTAAAGGCCTAATTTAATTTTCCATTTATATAAATATGGCTCAACACCGACAGATGGCAGTAAAAGTGCCAAATTATTTGCTAGTTACTGGAATGTGGTGCAGCACATAGCATGATGCAAATGGCTCAAATTTTCTGCTTCAACAAGTGAGTGTGAAGCCTCCAGGTTCAACCTCTTGCGGCATCTCACTTAGAACCAAAACTGGGCTAATGAAGTGGCATGCTTCTAACAGCATACAGCCTCATACTTGACATAATTCCAACATTCCATCCCAGATCTTCAATACAAAATTTAAAAAGTAACCCAACCACCCTCATTTACAACATTTAAGAATAAACAATATATTAATCCATAATCCAAGCCAACAGTATTGACAATATGCATTATGCAACCATGACTTTACCTTGTAGATGATAGACTTGGCATTAAGAAAAAACAGCTCGATAGTGGCATTGTCCTTCAGGTAGGATATACTCTCTATGTAGAACCTGAAAAAAATACATTTGCAACAACCATTAGTTGATATCAAATCCTTCAAAGAGTCCTGTAAATCCTAAGAGGAACAGGTAACATGTATTTGCCTCAAAAACAAAAAGAACAGATGTGGTAATATCATAGGCAGATGCTGCTACCCACCCAACGCTCCCAGTACCCCATAGAGACTGTGTCTGCCCCCTGCCCACCTAAATTATATAAATCAAGAATCAACTCCAGAGGAGTTATTCATAAGAACCTAATTAAGATTAAGATGACTCCTCTTATAGTAGAAAGTAATAGGACAATCAAATGTGGACTATTAAATATCAGATCTCTCTCATCTAAATCTGTTAGTGAATGATTTGATAAGTGAACATCACATTGACTTATTGTGTCTTACTGAAACATGGTTACAGCAGGAAGAATATGTCAGTCTAAATGAATCCACTCCACCTGGTCACAGTAACTGTCACATCTCTCGAAACACAGGCCGAGGTGGTGGCGTGGCAGCGATCTTTGACTCAAGCCTATTAATCAACCCTAGACCTAAACATAGCTATAAACTCATTTGAAAGTCTCACCCTGAGTCTCTCACACCCAAACTGGAAAACTCAAAAGCCTGTTCTGTTTGTTATTGTATACCGTCCACCTGCTCCTTATTCAGAGTTTTTAAGTGAATTCTCAGACTTTCTGTCTGATTTAGTGCTTAGTACAGATAAAATAATCATAGTAGGCGACTTTAATATTCATGTAGATGCCGACAATGACAGCCTCAACAATGCATTCTGTTCATTATTAGACTCAGTTGGCTTCTCTCAAACTAAATAAACCCACTCACTGTTTTAATCACACTCTTGATCTGGTTCTGACATATGGCATCAAAACTGAACACTTAATAGTTTTTCCCCATAACCCTCTTCTGTCTGACCATTTTCTAATAAC